GAAGTGGATGGTCTATGCGATGTTAGAATTCATGCTCTCAGCCAGAGACACGTGCATCTTGCCGCAATGGGTGCGAAGTGGATGGTCTATGTGATGTTATCTGTACCAGGTGGCCTTTGTTATCACACTCAGAGTTCTCCTCGTCTGTAACATTGTGCTGCAACCCTGTTATGGAACGGCTGTGAAAAGGAAACAGCGTTTTGTACATCCAGGTGTGTGTGTCAAACTGCGGATTGAAGTGGCTCCGGATTGTCGTTCATTCTACAGATTGCAAATCATCCATTGCTGGTGCGGCGACTGTTCAGTGACGAAGATGTTAAGTTCATGGCACAAATACTCCATCGGAAACAAGCTTTTGGAGACACATGCTCCTTGGAAAGAGTGGTCGAGGAGTTGATGAGCGAGAATGATTATGAACTTCACGTGGTAAGGGAGAATTCTTCGATTCGGAATCTGTTGAATGTTGCTGTAGCTTTTTGGCAAATTATGAAGGTTGGATGTTTGAGGTGATATGACGTCTTCGCTTTCGATGGCAGCGGCATATTGTACGATGCATAGTAGGTGCTTGTTTCATGACGAGTTGGGAGAGGCTGAGGCTGTTGACATGGTCAAGCCCCACTTGTGCTATGTTCACGCCAGGTTAGCGTGAAGCTAACGAGTTTTTACGAGCAGGTTCATGCTTCCTGAGCATGAATGTGCCACCAGTAGGGCCTGGCTCTTGTGCTCTAGGTGGCCCAGTTTGCGGTAAAGAGAACATGACAGCATGCTGTGAAGGCCACACTTCATGCGCACTCGGAAGGGCTCGGTGGTGGTGGTTGGACACCAAAAGAATCAAGCAAAATCAATCACAGTAGGAGTTAATGACAGGTTTTGCTGGCAGCGTATGACCGGTAGATCATTGGCAGAACAATAGTCAATATCTGAAGCAAGATATGGCAGAACCGGAAACTACATGTGGGACAACCACTGCTGTCAAAATGGTGAGATAGATAGATAGATAGATAGATAGAGAGAGAGAGAGAGAGAGAGAGAGAGAGAGAGAGAGAGAGAGAGAGAGAGAGAGAGAGAGAGAGAGCTTGGTTGGTCAGCTAAATTCAGTGCGAGCTCAAGGATGCAAAATAACATTCAGGGATCTCTTTTAGGGAGGGAATAGCATGTGCACACGTACATGCTATTCCCTCCCTAAAAGAGATCTCTGAGTGTGCATCCTTGTGTTCATCTTAGCGCAGGGACCCTGCTAATGTTCTCTGTATTTTTCCAATTTTTATGGATGTCCCGAAGGACAGAGGTGCTGCCTTTCTTTTTGTTTATATGTGAGCCGTATGCTCTGACATTTTGCTGTTGTCACTGCTGTTGCCTTGTCTTTGTCCTGTATACGGAACAGCTGTGCAAGTCCCATTTCGAACTTGCATCAAAGAAGCTTCCAAGGAATGCAGCCCTTCAATCCGGGAAATGTCAGGTAAGAATAATCTCCCGTTATCTACAGAGTTATTACTTATGGTTGCTTCCGGTTGCTGCTTCTGGGCTTAGCTTCTGGTTTTGTCTGGTATGTATTGAACCGTCTTTAGCAGCACGGTTGTCAATGTTGTGTTTACTAGCTCCTGATGGCTTTGATGTCACTTCGTTTGTTTTCTTCCTTGTTGGCCCCCTTGGCATGGTCCGCCTCTGTGCCAAGCCGAGGGGTTTGAACAAGGGAATATGTGTCTCAGATGACCCTATTTTGTGATCGACATGTTCAGACCCCATCCGAGAATGCAATCCGAGGACCCAAGATACAACGGCTCCATGGGTTTTCTGTTTGTGTTTCTCCTAGGGGCCATGTTTTTCCTTTACTCTTTGGGTGCTGCATTCTGTCCGCAGCGCCTACAGGCATCCTCCTGCAGTTTGCTCAACAAGGTCAAGCAAATTGGTGATGTGACTGATGTCAAAGTTTGCCTTCTCTGTTCTTGTGGCGTATGGGACAGTGCTGCGTGCATGGTTTTTTCACTTGCGAGTCTGAATGACATGCCTGTCAGGTAGTCAGCCTGGATTTCCAGAAGTACCACTGCCAATCCGTTCATTCAGAACAATGCGCAGGACCACATGTTCAAACAGGACCCTGCTGCTCCTATGTGTGAGTGCTATGCGTTGGAGATGGAGCGCTGATGGGGTGGAATATTGGTAGGAGTAGGATTTGAACCTGCACGTGCTGCTATTCCAGCAGGTATCTGCGTATGCTTTGAACACTGTCAAGGGCAGTTGTGGGATTTTGTCTGCTGGAGTACCGGCCCTATGAAGGGTGTGTAAAACACAGCGTTTACGTGTGTCCTGACCAATGCTTGCCGGTTTGTTAGTCATCCTGGCCAATGCTTGTTGGTTTGTTAATCAGCAGCTCAATCTCATCAGTCGATCAGCGTTATGGCATTTTGGTCTCCAGTTGGCATCACTCTTCTGTTCATTTTTAGTTTGGGCTGACTCTTTGTCTGTACGACAGTACGTGTGTTGGTCTAAGTGCTGCCTCCTTTTGGGCTGACTCTTTTCGTAAGGAAATCAAGAGGCGAGCCATTCTGGTCAGTTGCATTGAGTGGTGAAAGTTCAGGTCTGAAACGTGTCCGCAGAGGATTGTCTTTGTGCTTGCTTACTCCTGTTCTTTTCCCTCGCACGGATGACTGTGAATTGCTTCCTTGCCATTATACAGTCATAGGTATATTGCATCTTCCAGCCCCTTTCTTTTCGGATCTACCTTTGATAACCTTCTTTTACAGAGCGGATGAGCAGTGTTTTTTGAAGGTTCACTCTGGCCATGCAGATGCTTGCAGGACTCCTTTCCGAGCTCAAGGAAAAAGGATCAAGACCTCTGATATTCAGCCAGTTCACAGCCATGCTTGACATCCTGGAGTGGGCTCTTTTTGCTTTGCAGCTCTCATACGTTCGGCTGGATGGGAGGTAATCCTGCTATTTTTAATACTCCGTCATCTCTGTAACCCCTCTGAATGCCCGTCATAGTCAGCAGTATCTCCTAGATTCGTTTGTCACAATTTGTCAATTTTCGTGTCTGAAGAAATTTGCTGCATTTGGGCATCAGCTCTTTCAACCACACTTGTATGTGTTTCCAACACTTCCCTTCTCATCTTTCTTCTACTGCCAGAGGAGGAAAAAAAAAGAAGAACCCGCCCTCCTGTGCTCATTTACCATGACGTTGTTCCCTGTGGTTATTCCTCCCAAAGACGTTTCAGGCTTGCAGCCGAAAATGAAATTGCACCTGACCTGGGGGCTACCGCTTCTAGATAAGAAAACGAGGGGCCGCAATAATGATTGGGGTTACCCCATTTTACATTGAAAAAGGGTTCTGAATTGGTAAACGGAGGGGGCTTTGCTGTCCTTCTCAGCGTGGTGCAAGGCCATCAGCGGCTGGAAAGGCCTGCTGAGGGGCATCAGGTCCTAACTGTGGCTGAAAGTAACTTTGGCCCAGCCACTTGTGGGAAAGGGCTGTGAAGGCCGGGTAGGGGTTTCAGCACTTGCTGTCCTGGTGCCAGTAGGCGATGGTCTCTCTGGCCAGGGTGATCAGTCTGGTAGTGACCTCAGCCTGGCTACTCAAACATGAGGCCAGGGCAGTCAGGGCATCTTTTTGCAGGCTGCTACACTGCTAGAGTGCAGGTGTGTGGGAAACAGCAGCCGCCACCAGCAGCGCTAGCCAGCCAGCCATATATATGTGGCCCACTTCAGCATGTACATTCTTCGTCCGGTTCAGCGGTGGGCTGAGTTGTGCTGTTCTTCTTTGTACGAGGAGGTCAGATTAGGCTAGCGGTAGTAAGCAAACAAAAATAGGTGTTATCCGTTTTTTTCTTCTTAAAGAAATAGCGGGTCGCGTGTGGCGCTCCTGTGCGAGGCTCTCTTCGCCAGTGTTGGGAAAAGGGCCTGGGGACCAAGGCCGGGCCCAACCAAAAGCTGGCTGCAATTGGCATCGAGAAGTTTCTGGAGCAGCGGTCTGCGGTCGGGAAGCAAGACCAACGCTCGGCATGGGAAGGTAGGTAGAGGAGCTGGCTGCTAGAGGCCAGTGCGCGGGATCGGGACGTCAGTGGAGGGGAGGACCTGTACTGGCCTTGTAGAGATGCAGGTGTGAGAACGCTGCTATTCGCAGGTGTGCTATCCCGACGAAGGTGCGCTGATGACGAGGTCTTTGGCGCGAACGGCGAGACCATATCCGTGTGCTTGCTCACTGTGTATCGGTGTAGGGACGTGGAGGTGGAGAACGGACATTGACGACGGGGGCGCAGCCGTGTGGTAGCGGCCGTGCCCTGTGCTTGGCGGCATGGGGACGGAGTGAGGGGAGGTGGAGAACGGACAATGTGTGATCACGGCAGGCCTGAGTGACGAACGTGCATGGGGAGTTCATCATGACGGATGGCAGATCGAGGTATGTCTGCTGTCCATCTCTTCTTTTCTCTCTCCCTCCCTCATTCCCG